CCACTTTGTATGCGGTTCCAGGGATGGCACACAAATATACACTCTGCCACTGAGTCACCGCCCAGCCCAGGAAAGACACCACATGTGGTCAAGGCCCAGATGCCAACAGCGGGCACCTGGGCTTTGTAGGATGCAGATGGACAGTTTCATTCCAACTTTCCGGGGCCAGGTTGGGGTTTAGACTTTACAGACATGGAAACATCTGGGGGTGGCCTTAAAGGGGAGGTACAGAGGTGGCGGCTGCCTGACCTGTTTGGGGGTCATCGCCATTGGGACCAGAGAGACAGTACATGGGTAGGGTGCTTGTCTTGCATATAGCTGACCCATATGGTTTGATTCTCAGCATCCCAGGTGGTCCCCTGAACATCCTCAGGAGTGATCCCTGAGTGAAGAGCCAGGAGTAAGCCCTGAACATTGCTGTGCGTAGCCAGAAAAACAAACCAATGAACAATTGAGGAGGCACCTGTGGTTACTTGATGAGTGAGTCCTGCAACTTGATAAATGTAGTTGGGGTGATGGCCAGCCACTGCCCCTTGGAAGACAGCCTGCTGGCGCCCCTTCCACGAGGGATGGGAGATGGGAAAGTGGGGAGATACATGAGAGTTGGGAAGCCTGATACACTTGACAGGGCCTGAGCTGGCAGCACTTGGGGTGTGCCCAGGGTCATACCTGGATGTGCTGGGGTGTGTATGATACCAGCAAAGACACAGAACGTGCTCTGATGCTTGACCTCTCTCCCAGAGGCCCTCTTTTGGCAGAGCTGGGAACAAAGCCAGGGCCCCACACGTGTGAGCATGTGCTAGACCCCGGGGCCACCTCCTGGTCCATCTGGTGGCTTCTTAGGGAATTCTAGAGCCCCCCATGTGGACCCCTTGGCCCTCTCTTCTCTTGCTGTCTTTCCCTTCAAGTCCTCACATCCTCGGCATCCAGGTCTCTGCCCCAGGTGGACTTGGAGTCTTTCTCTGCTCTCTGTGTGCAGGGACAGAAGGCAGCCAGGCGATGTTCTGGGAGACAATGGGACAGCTGGGAAACTGGCCCTGGGAGTCCAGAGAGAAGTCAGAGGATCGGGAAGAGGGGACCCACTGTTGGAATCTAACTCCCATCTGGAGAGCTTCTCCCAGGGTATTCCTGGGAGAACTTCCCTCCAGCTCTTGACTCTGCCCCGGGCTGAGCAGGTTGCAACTGTGGCCGCAGGAACCTGGAGGGGACTTGCTCAGGGCAGGTGGTCCACCTCTGGGAACCATTTCCCTGTGCTAGGCAGCATGCACCGGGGCCAGGGACCAGTGCACAGGTGCCGGGTTCAGAACCTGGTTCACCAGTTACTCAAGGTGGGGCCCCCAGGAGAACTCACTGTGTTTCCCTTTCCTTATTTGCAAGAGCACTTGAGCTGGTGAATGATAAGAGCTGTGTGTGAAGGGCTCAGCAGGATCCCTGGCAAACAATGAGTGTGCAAAAACTGTCAGCCACTGGAGGGGGACTGGGCCTGCAGGCGCCACTTTAGCTCTGTGCCATCTCTGGACGCCTGAGTCTCAAGGAAGGATGGAACTACATCGCCCTCTCCCCTGCGTTCCGATGGTGTGGGCATGACATGTGTTAGGCAGAGATGTATTGGGATTTGGTAAAGGCAAAGGTAAAGGTAAATGCCCTCCCATTGATCGTCGATTTGCTCAAGCGGGCCCAGTAACGTCTCCATTGGAGACTTTGTTGTTACTGTGTCTGGCACATCGAATACTCTCGGTAGCTTGCTGGGCTCTCCGAGAGGGGCGGAGGAATCGAACTCGGGTCGGCCATGTTGGCCGCTTGTAAGGCGAACACCCTACCGCTGTGCTATCGCTCCAGCCCTCCTTGGGATTTGGATTTGGGCACTATTTCCCCGGCACCGGGGTGCCTTGATTTGTGTGGTCTCAGAGCACCAGGCAATTGATGGATAGTCACAAGCTTTTGTCACACTTAGTGTTCAATGAATGACATGAGCCAATCAATACATTCCTACAACAGGCTTCTTGTTGGATGATTTTGATCAGCAGAGCTTTGAGTCCCTGGAGTGTGGGTGGGGCTAAGTCCTGGGTGGGCGGGGCCGCACAGTGTGGCTCTCAGGTTGGTGTATTCAACTTGAACTATCTTTAGTTAAAGGAGATATCTGACTTAAGATAGTTTCCACTTAATGGATCGGTTTGTCTGGGTTTAACTCCCTTCTGTTGAGAAGTTCCACTCTGGCCACTGCCAATCTAAACACGGAGGCAAGGCACAATGGCTATTCTCAAAGAACTCCCTTTATTTTTTATTCATCTATCTATATATATACATATATATATATAACGTCTATACATTTGTTGTTTCAGTTTTCGGACAACACCCAGCAGTACTAGGGAGCTGCTCTTGGCTCTGTGCTCCAGAGGTCATTCCTGAGGGGATTCGTGTGATGCTGGGGATTAAATCTGGATATCAGCCCATTGGCCTATCTCTCTGGACCAATGAGGAACCATTTAATCAGGTGAGGGATAAAGAATTCAACCAGGAGGCCCGGAGATAGCACTGCAATTGGGGCGCAGGCCTAGCATGCCCTGGGTTCGGTCCCCACCCCAGCACAGCCGAGTTGGCCTGGGTATCCCAAGGAGCACAGTACCCTTGGGTCCTTGCATTGAACTGTCAGCACAGTTGGTTCTAGAATGCTGTTGGGGTGCCTGGGCCTCCTGGCCACCACTTGGGAGGCTTCCTACAACAATAAAGCATTCCAGGGGCCAGGTAGATAGTACAGCGGGGAGGGTGCTTGCCTTGCACACAGCTGGCCTGGGTTGGGTCCTCGGCATCCCATAGGGTCCTCCGCGCAGCGCACCACCAGGAGTGATTCCTGAGTGCAGCATCTCAGAGTACGGCCCGGGAAACAGGGGGCGGGGACGGGGGAAGAATTCGCGCAGGGCTGAGAGCTTCTGCTTCTCTCTCTAATGACGTCCTGACCTTGTGCGGCCAGAGAGGAATCAGGGAAGCCTCCCCACAGGAGGGGGCCTTGGTACCCGAGCTAGAAGGATGAGAGGAGGGAGGAGGGAGAAGAGAGGAGCGGGGGACGAGGACAATAAACGGCAGCCCTTGGCACTGTAGACACACAAGTCCAGGAATCAGGGTGCCGGGGAGGCGGGGAGCCGGGGGTGGGATGTTGGGGGGAGCGCGAGGCGAGCGCGCAGGTGCGGGGAGCGGGCCGGGGGCGGCGCTCCGGGCCGCGACTGGCTGCGGACGCCCCATGCCCCTGGCGCGGCCGCGGCCCGCTGGAACCCCCGGGCCGCCGGGTTCCCCGAATCTCGGCCGCTCGCCCCACCCCTCGGGCCCCTGGGGAGGAGGAGGAAGCGCGGTGCGCGCCCCGCCGGGCTGGCGGCCGCAGCCGGTTCCCTGTCGCCGCTGGCTGCAGCCACCCGAGGCCAGCGCGGGGAGCGGCCGGCGCGCGCGCTCAGTAACCCGATGCTCAGCTGCAGCGCCAGGCCGGGGACCCGCGGCCCGGGGTCACAGTGACCTCCTCACTTCCCTGCACCCGTCAGCACCCCGAAACGCGGCCGGCCGGCCGGGCAGCCCCCACCAGGATGCACCAGCACCCCGCCGGACTCTCGCGCCGAAGTACCTCCACCTGTCCCCTAGCCCCCCACCCCCAGAGGTCACTCCTTTCCCTCTTCCCTCCTAGCTCGTCCTCCCTCCCCACCCCACCTCACCCCTCCTGGCCTCTGGTTGGTGGCCAGAGGAGGGAGCGGTCGGGCTCCACCCGGGCCCTTTCTTGCCTCCCCATCACACGATCACACGGGACAATGAAGAGTTTTTTCACGCGCTCAGGATTCCCCGGCACCCAGAGTTAAGTGTGGCAGGGTGTGGAGTGGGGGGGGGGGGGACCTTGAGGTCCGGGGGCCAGTGCATGCCTGGCCAGCTGGGGTATAGACGGTGGGGAAGGACCCAGGCCCAGGCTGTGTTCCCACGAAGCTTTATTGATGGATGCTAACATTTGAATCTCCCATCATTTTCCTGAGTTACAGACTCTCTCTTGGACTTTTTTTTTAACCACTTAAAAGTGAACTCAACCAGCTGACCCGTTCTGGGGTGGGGTTGAGGGATGGGGGTGGGGGACGCAGCGGGGCTCAAAACTGGGCTTTGGCTGGGAGTGTAGGGGCTTCTCAGGTGTCCCTCAGTGCCCAGCACCCAGGTGGGGCACCGCTGTGAGCATCTGTGCCCTGAGGCTGGGGGCTGCCCACGTGTCCTGGCGGCACACGGACGCTCCTTATGTTGGTGGCATAGGAAGGTTGGGTGGAGGGTAGGGGCAGGCCCCAGGGGTGCGGCAGGGGCAGTTTACCCAGAGACCGTGCTTTCTGCCTGGTGCCAAGATGCCCAGGCAGCAATGAATGCCCTTCACTTGCTGTCTTCTGGCTAGGCACCCCGTCCAGGACCTGGTTCCCCACCTCTGGGGTGACCCCACTTTGTCTGGGTCTCCCCTCACAGACTCTCTTGCCCCCGCCCCCCATTCCACAAAGACCCTGGGTCAACTTCCTGCCGCTTCCAACACAGACCCCAGGGGCGGCTTCTTCACCAGGCTTCACATTCCCCCTCAGGCGCCTGGCAGAGGCTGTCCAGCCTTGGGCGCCTGAATCACATCACTCACAGGGCTGGGGGTGCAGTGAGGACCCCTGGGGGCTCACAGTCTTTCTTCCTCAGGATTTAGCCAAGAACTCCATGGGCCTTCTCTTCCGGCCTCGGTCCTGGCTGCCACCATGTCTCAGCCTTGTCTCTCCCTGGCGGTGCTCTGGGTTTCTGAGCCATCGGAGTTTCTCTGCTCCAAGGCAGCGGGAAGAGTGACTACAGGGGCTGCTGGGTCATCACTGCATGGGCCCAGGTACCAGTCAGTCCCCGAAGCAGGGACTTTTGGTCCATGTCTCTTGAAAAGCCCCAACGGGGCGTGCAGGGTCCCCTGGGGCAACCAGGAGACAGTCTTGAATTCTCAGACCAGGGCTGGGGCTCCCGGCCCCATCTCAGGACTCTGCCGATACCTGGGTATCGGGGAGCGGGTGAGAGAAGGCCTTCTCCAAGCGCAAGGTGTTGTATCTGGGGGGCGGGGTGCCGGGCACCTGGGCCCCCGGGGCTGGAGGCAAGCTCAGGGCAGAGGTGAAGGTGGGCAAGTCATCGTCAATATCCAGGCCTGGGTTGTCCTGGCCACCGGGGACGGGAGGAGCCTCGGGGCAGCGGGGCGTCTGTCTCCGGGCCCACCACTCCTTTACTTTCTGCCACTGGCGGCGGGCGATGATGGAGAAGGAGTCGATGAAGAAGACCTCGATGATCTCAATGACGCACACGACTGAGCAGCTCATCCACAGGCCCAGCTGGCCTCCAAAGTTGGACAGAAGCATCTCAATCTGCCAGGCAGGACGAGCCAACAGTGTCAAAAATGGACCTTCCCCTGCCCGATTCCCGGGGAGCTGTCAGCTAGCCCTGGCGAGGAACGTTCTAGCGGGAGGGATGGGCAAACTTCTCGACCCCTCAGACACTGCTGTCTCCGGCCAACGGCCACCCTCTGAACACAGGCTGGATTCCCACAAGCAGATGCTGTACCCCTACCCCGCCCAGCAGACGGTCATTTTATATTGGGTCCCCCCCAACCCCCACCCCACCCGCAGAGAGTCACTCACGCTATTGGCAGGGCTCTCCATAATGGAGCGCTGGTTCAGGTCTTTGTAGAATATCAAGAGTTTGGCCAAGTCAGTCCTGCAGATAAGAGGCAGGGCCCAGGTGGGTTGAACAGGCAGCCCCTGTGCATGGTGGTTTCGCTCCGGCCTCCTGGGCACCCCACGCTCGAGCTCTGGAGGCCGGGGGATACTCCCAGCCTGGTCGCTCAGGCTATTCTTTCAAAATTCATTTTCCTGCCTCGAGCCCTCGTTAATCCACCCACCTCCCCTCCCGTGCTCTTCACAAAACCTTGACATTTGTGGTGTCTTGATTACAATCTCAAACACATACAGGAGACAGGCAGGCCAGGTAAACGAGCAAGGTAGGCTGGGCATAATGTAATCACAATAATAACCATAATAGCAACTCGTCTTTATTGGATACTTCCTGTTGCCAGTCACTGCTCCAAGAACCTTCTGGAAATTCACTCACTTGCTTCTCCCCCTCCCCGCCCCCCCGCAAGGATTATGTCTTAATCCTCCCTAGAGGACAGATGTGGAAATGGCATCACAAATTGATGGAGACATTTGCCCAAGACTACTCAGTTCATAATTGACAGAGCCATTTTGAACATTGCTGGAGCCCAGCTACAAAATCCCTGGCTGACACTGCTGAAACAGTTTCCAGAAGCCCACACTTATGCCAAAGGGATAGCTGGTCTTCAGCCTTGCTGTTGCCCTAATTTACTTTTTCTTTCTTTCTTTTTTTAAAGTCAGAACTGGTTTATTTTATTACGGTGGGGGGTGAGGGGTGCATACCCTGCAGTGTTCAGGGCGGTACTCCTGGCTCTGAGCTCAGAAATTACTCCTGGCTGTACTTGGGGACCATATGGGGTGCCAGAGATCAAATATGGGTTGGCCGCATACAAAGCAAGCACCCATTACACTATTACACTATACCCATTACACTATTGCTCTAGGCCCCCCTGCCCTGACTTAGGTCTTCGGAACACTTGGTCATCACAGCTGACTTTGGTGGAATTCGGGGTTTTCATCTTTTGCTTTCTACTTTATTCAAACACCGTTGCTTACAAAGTTGTTCACGATGCATTTGTCGCAGGCATTTGATAGTCCAAGTCCTGGTGGAATTTAGGTTGGATCGAGGGGCCACCCATGGGCAAAATTCAGCATAAGCATTTGCCTTTGTTGAACCACAGTTTATCGCTGGATTATAAACTCTGTGGTGTCAGGGCCACATCTCTCCGTAAGCCCTGGCTCCCCAGCCCAGCACTTGCCATCACGGCTGGTGGGTTGTCATTGAGCAGGGGGGCTCAGGCCTGCACCAGGCATGGTGGGGAGGGCCTGGCCAGAGAGGTGCGAGTTCCTGAGGTCACCCCCACTCTCTTCCCACTTTGTCTCCATCTCACTGAGGTCCTGAACTCCAACTTGGCTGAGTTTTTTACTTAGAACCCCTTGACCGGCCTGGAGTGACAGTACAGTGGGTAGGGCATTTGCCTTGCATGCGGCTGACCCGGGTTCGATCCCCCCGCATCCCATATGATCCCCCGAGCACTGCCAGGAGTAATTCCTGAGTGCAAAGCCAGGAGTAAACCCCGTGCATCGCCGGGTGTGACACCCCCCCAAAGAAAAATCCTTCGGCAACAAATTGGGAGGTGGAAAATTCAAATGGGATTAGAAGAGGCGAGACTCAGAGTCATCAAGATCCTTGAGGAAGTCCTGAAGGAATATACAGGGCTGTGCTTGGCACCTTCTTGAAACAGGATGGTTGCTTGAAAGCTCAGCTGGCATCCCGGAGAGAGTGACACCCCCACCCTCCCTGCCGGGGACCCGGGAGACAGCCAGGTGGGAATGAGTGACCGCCAAGAGGCCCCTGGTGAGTGCAGCTATGCCAGGGAGCCCAGGTGCCAACCAGTCTCAGAGCTTCCAGCCTAAAGGAGGCGCCCCTTCACCCCACTTTTCCAGCTATTGTATACTCATTGAGCCACCAATGAGAAGGTACGTTCGTACTGTGGCCCCAGATGTTGTCCCAAGCCTGACTCATGAGATGAATAAATAAATCTTTGCAGACAAAAAGCAAAAATGAAGGCAGGCAAGGGTTTGGCCCAGGGACCACAGTGAGCATCTGGGCCGTCGGAGGAAGGAAAGTTACTTACTTGTTGAGCTTTTTTTTGATTTGTTGGCCTTGGTCCCAAGTGAGAACAGACAGCAACCATTTCTGTGATTGAGAAAAAGGAGGAGGGCTGTGGAGAAGCCTGGAGTGACTGGGGCCAGCCCGTGGACCCTCCGCAGAGGCGGCTGATCCCCAAGGCCAGGAGATGGTGAGGGTCCAATCTTGCAGGGCAGGGAGTATGGGGAGGGGGAGAACTTACCTCAGAAACCAAAGAGGGCCACTGGGCCAGGCTGGTGGTCAGTGTCCACTCTTTAAAGCTAAGGGGAGACAGGGGTGCGTGAGTGGGTAGCCTGGGCAGGCCCCGCCCCGCCTGTCACCTCCCCCCGGCACTCACCTGCAGGCCTCCCGGCACACAGACTGACAGCCCAGCTCCTCCCGGACGAAAGCCTGGTGCAGCTGGTAGTAGCAGTACACTGAGGGGCAAGGCAGATGGGCAGCATGGGTGTGGGGGTCACAGCGACCTTCCTGGAGGGGTCTCCAATGGTTCCCCTCCCCCTTTAGATGGTTGCTTGGTCTACTTTCTCCAGACACTAGTTCTTTGGTAGTCAGCAGCAGGGGCTTAGCAGGCTGGCTTGAGTCTAGACCTTGGTTTGCGTCTAGTTCCATGACTTCCTGGCTGTGTGACCTTGGGCAAGTTGTTTACCCATTCTAATGCCTATATTTTCTGGGGGAAGGGTCCTAGCTGTTGTTCCCACCTCCTAAAGTTGACTGGCGTGGGGGTCCGGGTGGGGCGTGTCAAGGTTTTAGCACAGGTGGTAGGTTGAGCATTTATTTGGTTTGGGAAACAGAAAAAGCCCAGCTCAATAATAAAGACAAAACTCAAGGGGACCTCTCTCCCCAGTGGTCCCCACAGACAAAAGACAAGTGGGGCAGAATGGGGTTGGGGGGCTGCCACTTACTCCAGTTGGGGTGCTGCTGGTAGTTGCAGTAGTTGGCTGCCGGGGGCAGAGGCTGGCTGTACTGGGCACATCCACATTTCTCCACCATCTTGGTCTGGAAGCAGGAGTGCAGGCAGATCTGCAGGACGGGGTCCGAGAGCCGCCTTGTATGGGGGTTCCAGGAACTACCCCAGCCCCTCACCACAGCTACCCCTCTAAATAGTTAATATCTTGGAGTGGGGTCTTTTATTTTGGCCCCCACCCAGCAATGCTCAGGGCTCATTCCTGGCAGTGTTTGAGGAACCCCATGGAGCCACAGGCAAAGGAAGCACTCTACCACCCGCGCCTCTCTGACCCCGGTTTTGAAGCCAGTTTGGTTTCTTTCTTTCCCAGACATTCTCTGACTAGCAGTTCCTTGTCCCTTGGTTTTCATACCCCGACCTCCCTCAACGAGGCTCAGATGTAAGTTGGAGGGTTCATGCAGTGGACGTCCTGGTCCTTTGATTCCACTAGGTATCCAGGAAGAGGTGAGTGGTAGGGCCCAGAAGTGCCCCCGAGGATCAATGGGGCTAGTGAGCACTAGGATGCCGAATGCCCCCAAACCCTGTCCCTGATCCCACAGAAACTCTCATGACATAGACCTTGTCTCTCCAGAGAAGCTGAGCACCTGGGTTTTCCTAACTGTTTACATCATCTGAGCCAGAAAAATCTGGAATGCCCCCGGGGGCCCCTGGTCAACCCTCCTTTGCCCCCTGCGGGCTGGGGTGGGGGGCAGAGCGGAAACCACTTGTCCAAATCCAGTGGAGGCGTGGGGGTGAGGGGACGCGGGCGGGACAGCTCTATGGTGAGCCCCAGACAACCTCACAGTCTCCAAGAAGCTCCTGTTACAGACAGACTGACCGGGACTGGAACCAGCCGGCGGAGCTGTCCCCGAGGCCTCTGGATGAGCCCCAGGGAGGAGTTCCTGCTCCCAGACACACCCGGGCCGAACAGAACTTCGTGTCCTGGGTCCCAGCCGCAAGCCGGCCCTACCTGGAGGGAGTAGGCAGCATTGTAGATGTTCTTGATGGGCACGTCGCTCCCGTCCTCCGTGCACTGGCTGTAGGGCTCGCTCAGCTTGAACGACTCCGTCTGCAAGCACAGATCACAGCCTTCCAGAAGAGAGTTGCTTCCTACCCCAGGCAGCCCCTGAGAGCTGAGTGCCAGGGAGGGCTCTCCCCATCCCCCCACCCTTTATTTCAGGGGTCGGGGACTGAACCCAGGGCTCTCACATGCAAGGGTTTGCTGATAGACCACTCCCCCAGTCTCTGAACACAGATTTAGTGAGCTCCTACTTGGTCTCTGGTACTTCCACAGAGACTGTGGAAGCAGCTGTGACAATGAACAAGGGCCCTGTACTCATGCAAGTGACATTCTAGTGGCCAGAGCCATAGTCCTGCAGGTGGGGCACGTGCCTAGCATGCAGCTGAGCCTGGTTCACTCTCTGGTACCCCCAAAGGTCTCCAGAGCCCACTGGGAGTGATCCCTGAGCACAGAGCCAAGAGTAAGCCCTGACCAGCAACTCTCGGTGTGGCCCAAACTCAACCACCCACCCCACCCCCCCCCCCCCCACACACACACACTTTATATTCTAGTGGGACAGACAGCAGACTGGAGGGGCTGTGAGGACAGGGCAGTCTCCCAGAGAGAGTGATCAAGGGGGGCGTTGTGGAGGAGCCGGCCTTGCCAAGAACCGGGGGAAGAGAATTTGGGTGGCAAGAGCCTCAGAGGCTGGAGGCAGGAGAGGGCTGGGCAGCTGGGCTATGGCAGAGGGCAGTGAATTGCTGGAGAGTGACATGGCTTGTCCAAAGCGCCATCAGATCACCTCCTGAGCTGAACAGGAGATCTGCATTGCTTTCCAGCACAACGCCTGATGGGAGGAGGGAGGCTTCAAACCGTAGTACTGACTGGCACTTGTCTTGGCAAAGGACCCCACCCCCACCCCCCAGCCTTTCTACCCAGAAGATTTCTGCTTTCTGGCTCCAGAAATCAACTTGGAAAATCTGAGTTTTCTAAGAGAGAGAGAGAGAGAGAGAGAGAGAGAGAGCACAGAAGGCCCAGCAGGTAGAAGGGGAGCAGCACCGGGAGTCAGAGAGTTTGAAACCTTATTAAACTATATTCTGCTGAGTTCAGCTCTGGCTGATTTGTTACTGCAAAAAACCAATCCAAACAAACCCAATAAATGAAAGAAAGAAAGGGGGGGGAGGCGAACCACAAATTCTGAGGGAGAATAAGAATATAAACCGTAAAAGAGGAAAAAAAGGGGAAAAAAATGAAAGATTTTGCCTGGCATGTACAAGGCCCCGTGTTCAATTCCTGACAGCACAAAACAGCTGGGTATAGCACTACGGGAAGCCCCCCACCCTCATCAAATACACAAACCAACCAGCCCAACCCCCAGAAAACAACTAACAAAAATAGACAGGAAGAGAAAGCTGGAGGGGGAAAAAAAAAGGAATCAAGAATTCCCATGAAGGTAGAAAGTGTCAACATCTCAAGTGGCAGTAATCTCTTTCTGTTTGCATTGTAATTCATCTGCCCATCAGCCTCCCTCAATTAACTGCCAGTACCTCAAGGGCAATTGACAGTGCTTGCAGAGCACTGAAACTCTGGGTGCAAACAAAGGGGAAAGTGGCCACCTGGTCCCCACGCTTCTGACACCACCCACCCTGCCAGGTCCCAGCGTGTGACGCCCCGGAACAGCCCACCTCATCTACAGGTGTGTGTGTAGATACCCACACACCCACTCCTGCCTCATGTCACTGGTATCACAGAGTACATGCCAGGGTGGGGCTGGGCATGAGGGTGCACAGATTCCAAGCACCGCTTCCCTCCAGGGCTCCCCAGTTTAGGATCCCCCACCCATAAGCTGACCCCAGCAGCAGGTAGGCTCCCTGGGCAAAAGTTCCTTTGAGTCCCCCAGAGTCTAGAGCCCGGGCAGCAGACTGAATCCTCCAGGCGGGAACACCTGTCGGGCCGGGGGATCTTTCTGCACTGAGACCCAGGGAAGTGATGGCGAGAAATGGATTTGATTTTGATGCTTTCTGAGTACCCAGTGAGCTGGTACTCTGTAATGATGGTTGTGGAACCCTTGAGTCCCAGGGCATGGAGGACACTGAAAGCATGTGGACAAATGGGTATTTTTTGGCAGTAGTGGACAGGATAAAGGTGTTTTAGCTTCTTAAAGCCACAATGATGAGTAAACTTCTCTCCCTCCCTCCCTCCCTCTCACTCTCTCTCTCTCTCTGAACATTTTTGATTGCCTTGCTGATCCCTAGAGACACAGTGTATATGTGTGTGTGTGTGTGTGTGTGTGTGCTACCTCTGTTCACACCAGTCTGTCCACACACAGAACATGTATATAACTGTGTGGCGATGTCACACACATCTGCGTGGGTATGCACAGGTGTGGTTAAATGTGCGTGGCCGAGTACGTAGTATGTGGGTGTCTGTGTGGAGAGCAGAACCTGTTTCCATCAAAGCAGATCCTATCTGCTGCCTTATGAGAACTGGGGAGGAGAGAATCTTCTCAGAAGACCATGGCTCACCCCTGGAAGGTGTGGGTACCCTCGCAACCCCCTAGCCTCCGTCAGTCCACTCTCAAACCCAGGTGACTGTCTGAGCTCCCTCCCAATGCAGGTAGATTATGGGGGCTCATAACTTGTTCTTCCTTCTGTTCTGTTTTCTTTGAGGGTGAGGGCTTGGACCATGCCCAACAGTGCTCAGGGCTTACTTCTGGCTCCATGCTCAGTGGTCATTCCTGGTGGTTCTCAGGAATCAAACCAGGGTTAGCCCATGCAAAGCAACTGGCTTAACCCCTGTTCTGTCTCTCCAGTCATATTCTTTAAAAAAAATACTGTAGTAATTATAGAAACTACTTTGTGTATGACAAAGTCTATATCTAAGGTTGTAAGAAGAATGACAAAATGGATGAACTTAAGGAAATTCACTACTTGGAGGAAGTAAATTCTATCTCTACTTCACATCCTGCAGGAAGAAATTCTAGTGTGTTCAAGTATTAAATGAAATAAAATAACTAGAAGAAAACTCAGCGCCGTATATTGATCTCTAGGAGGGAAAATCCACAATAAAAACAATGACAATAAAGGAAAACAGATTTTCACTATGTAAATACATGGTGGTTTTGCATGCAAAAAGGGTAACATAAAGAAGATGAAAGAGAAAGTACAAACTAGGACAATTATGCACAATATCTATAGAAATTGGTGGGACTTTTTTTTAGCTTGGTGACGCTCAGGATTCACACCTTGTGGTGCCATAGATTGAATCTGGGGCGCCCACATGCAAAGTCTATGCCCCAGTCCTTTGAGTCATTGTCCCAACTCCAATACTTTTTTATTTATGCAGTTATAAGGAAGAGACCAGTGCTGGACTTCTAAAGGACAAGGACATGGAAAAGGGCAAGAAAATCCTTCCCTAGTTACCCTTTTGATTCAGCTTCATGTTTGTTTTTTCCTTCTCTTTACACCTCTTTTCTCAAAAACATATGTAAATATAAAATAACATTGGCATACTTACCACTGGCCTACGTGATTCCACCAATGAACTCAGTGGATTTTCTGGGTGTTGTTTGTTTGCGGTATTTGTGGTGCCAGAAATCCAACCCAGGGCCTCTCACATGCAAGGCAAGTGCTTTGGACCCCTGAGCCCTACCCCTGGCACCTAATCAAGTCATCAAATCCTCATCAGCCTCTGAAGCCACATTGCTCTTGTCATCCCCACTTTACAGTTGAGGTCAGTTTACATTTGAGAGATCAGACAAAGTACCACGCTGGGTTTTGAATCCCGGTGGTTGGCCCTAAGAGTCTTAATTCTTATGGTCTGCGTGTGTAGCGAAAGAAGACTGTGTGTACAGCATTTTCTTAGTGATCCCTTCTCTGTTCCAGCAGCCTTCTCCCCTCAGCTCATGAGGCAGGCTTCCAGCTATGGGGCAATCCTCCTGGCTCTTGTGTCTACTGTCCTTGGGTGTCAGTCTCATATTATGTTATTTTTATATTCTACAAATGAGTGCAGTCTTTCTATGTCTGTCCCTCTCTTTCACTTAGCATGATACTCTGCATGTCAATCCATTTATAAGCAAATTTCATGACTTCATCTCTCCTAACAGCTGCATAATATTCCATTGTGTAGATGTACCAAAGTTTCTTTAACCAGTCATCTGTTCTCAGGCATTCAGGTTGATTCTAGATTTTGGCTATTGTGAACAGTGCTGCAACGCACTAGTGGAGGGATGGGTGTTTCACCATTGTGTGACTGTAACCAAAACATTAAAGTTTGTAACTATCTCATGATGATTCAACAAAATTTAAAAAAAAAGCATACAGTGGGTATGACCACGACAAACCTGTCTCCCCCTGCCCTACTCCAGGTCCTGGTTCCACCCCCTGCCTCCGCTGTCTAAGCCATCCACCCTCGATCACTTCCTTATCTTCCACTCATGATCCAAGCTATTATACTGTGGTTTCTGCTCCGCCTCCTCCACTGAAAACTTCCCGCAATGAGCACCACACCAGTGACCTCTTGGCGGCCAAGCCCAGGGAACACCTTTCACCCTTTATCTTTCGTGACCTCTCAATTACATTTGGTACTATGGCGTTCACCTTGCTTGAAATTCCTTTCCTTGATCTAGTTATTCCATGCCAACACTCTCTCTCTCTCTCTCTTTCTCTCTCTCTCTCTCTCTCTCTCCTGTCCCTAACTCTCCTTTGTCTTTTCTTGTCCCCTTCACACAAATGTCTTTCAGACAGAAATTTTGAAATCAACTTGAGGGGTAAAGAACTCAATTGTGTAAAAGTCAATTTTAGACTAAAAACGGTTTATGCATCAATGACCGGCCCATAATTACTACAAACGTTCCTCTATTGTTTCAACTCCATTAACTCCATTTTCCACCATTACCCCAACACTAAGGTATTACAAATGAAAGAAACAGATGCTAGCTAGGTGGACTATCATGATAGGGTATGTTGGATTATTAACACTGCTTTCACTCATGAAGAATTTTAAACTCATAGTTTTGAGGTTTTTTTTTATCATACAAACAAAACCACATTTTATTTGCAGTTTGGATTTTTCTATTTGTTTTTGACTGAGAAAAACACTATGGGGGGATTAATTTCCAAGTGTTTCCTCCATTTCTGATTCATTCCCATTTTTAAAGCATCATGGTTGGAGAGAGCTATCTCTCCACTGTCTTTCTGCTCAGCCCTTAGGCATCTTCTTGTCTCAGATCTTGAGGGATGGGATTTATGTCTAGAATTTTTAGGCTTCATGGTCCCCCTCTCCACCACCAACTTTATTTCTGAGTGCCGAAGTCATAACATCTGCTTGCTGGACATTTTCCCTGCACTTCCTAAAAGTACGACTTGGGTATGTTAACAACCACAACCCAGTTAACGTGATTGTCCTTCCCCCTTACTTACCTGTTCTCTCTAGTCCCCCAATTCTGCCTTGTGCCTCCATCCACTGGACTGCTCATGCCAGAATTTACATATGAGTTCATCTTCCCCAGGCTGTTTCTCATGACTTCATTGTCAGGCCCATGTTGTCATACTTGTGCTCATCTCCACCCCCACGGCCTCAGCATTTCCTTCTAGCTTCCAATATATTGACTGTAACTCCACCAAGGCGATTTCTTGAAAGGTTCGATTACATGGCTTAAATCCCTTCTGTGACCCTCTTATAAGTACCGTGTATTCTTTGGACTAGTCTTGCCTGATACAATCCATCTGGCACTTGTCCTTCAAAACTCTATCAGTTAGAAAGACTGTTCCACAGTTTCTTTCTCTGCATTCATCCATCCACCCACCCACTCATCCATCCATCCACCTATTCATCTATCTACTGATTCGTTCACTCACTTACCCACCTATCCATCCATCCATCCATCCATCCATCCATCCATCCATCCATCCATCCATCCTCCCATCCATGCCACAGCCAATCATTCTTTCCCTTCCTCCACCCACTTATTCATCCATCCCTTCACCCACCCATCTATCCATGCATCCACTTAACAATTTTTACTTACTATCATTCTAAGAACTGAGCCTGGGAAGAAGCTGGAAGCAGAGCTGGGAAACATACTGCAAAGCGTGTGCTCTCCAAGTTGAAACCTCTGAAGGGAGCTGCAGAGCTTCTTTCAACTCTGCGTAAAGAGCACTTTGGACACACAGTCCCTCAAGAAATGAAAAATGAATTTATTGACCACGTTTTGCCAATGAAGTCTACCAGCTTAACATGCCTACCAATAAATGAATGAATGAATGAATGAATAAATAAATAAATAAGGAAGGAAGGAAGTCTAGTTTGTTTGGACTTATTCTTAGTGACCCCCTGATGACCTTGCAGTAATCCCCGTTTTTGTTGTTGTTCTAAATGCTCATAAATCAGGACTAACGCTGACTGGTCCTGCTTTGTGGCTTTGATTTTTGTCTATCTCAAATTAGGTGTAGCGGAAAACCCACCCAGGCCTTTGTTGACCCACCATTGGCAAAGAGAACATTAGCTTCATCATGAGCTGGGTATTTCTAAGCTCCCCGAAGAAAGCCAGAGGCCAGAATTCCTTTAGTTCTTGTATTTTTCTGACCTCTTGTAAGCCATCCAACTGTACAGGCTAACTGGGAGAAGCAGAAGGGTCGGAGGCGCAAAAGGATGGGTGGGAAGGATACGTTACAATTCTCAGGGAGTTCCTTTCAGTCCCAACCACTTGGGAAATGTGAGATCAGAATGTTTCTGATCTGAGCTCGGGGTCAGATCTGCCGTGGAGCAGAGAAATCAATCAGATCCTGGAGTGATAATCCCCAAATCTTTTCTTTTCTTTTTTAAATTTTTTTTTCTTTTTGGGTCACTCCCAGTGATGCTCAGGGGTTACTCCTGGCTCTGCACTCCGGATTACTGCTGACGGTGCTGGGAGGACCATATGGGATGCTGGGAATTGAACCCAGGTCGGCCTCGTGCAAGACAAATGCCCTCCCCACTGTGCTATCACTTCAGTCCCAGCCCCAAATCTTCTCTAACCACAGTCTTGGCAGGTTGGGACTCAGGATCTTTTTTTTCTTGGGCAATCAGTACTCACAGAGCCCATGCTGGGATGTAACACTTGGCATTTTGAAGCAAGCTTCTGACATGAGGACGAAGACCCTCCACAATAAGTCTTTGGGAGGACCCCTGGTCCCCAGACCACTAGACTGTTGGTTTCTCCTCTCATCAAATTGACTCTGATGGGTAAAAGGTGCTTTTGAAGCCATCAATCCCCCCTGGAACACTTATTCATTCCTGCTATCTCCAATCAAATATCACTTCCTCAGAGAAGCAGTTCCCAGAATTATACATACCTTCCCAAGAGCTGAGATTTAAAAACTCTGGCTTGGGTGCCCCCTAAGCTGCTCCCACACAGATGGATTTCTTCTTCCTTGCACTTAGTGCCACCATCACTAGACCTTTGGGCAATGTCCGGCTTGTTACAGACCTACTGTTGGACTCTCATGTTCCAACAGGACAAGGGGCAGAATCTTCCAATACGCTGTCCTAGTGTCTAACTTAAAGGGGGGACTTGGGAGAATGTTGGCCACCTAAAGACACCCAGCCCCCAACACCGGCTGAGTGAGGCACTATTTCATAGTCATGCACTATGAAGTCACCATTTCTGGCTGTGCCCCACTTGTCATTTCCTTCTCATGTGACTTTCCCTTGAAAAGACAGACTGTATCTCTGCTCGTTCTGAATAACTCCTGCCTTGATCCGAGGCTCCTGAGACTGCTGGAGTTTGCCCAAAGCACAGATGCTCTGGCTCATCTTTCAGAGGCTTGGACTGGGGGCGGGGGGGGGGGGGCTGACACCGATCACCCAGGTATTAGTGCCCTCGAGGGCAAACTTGTGAGGTTTGGCAGCTCTGTAGGACATGACGGTGGTGCGGGGTAGAAGTCCACAAAATTTCTCCCTACACACAGCACAGGAAACGCCATGAAGAAGGACCATCCACTGAAATTATTTTGGGGGAGGGGTGCTCCGTTTTGCTTTGTTTTGTTTTGGGGCCACACTTGGCTGTGTTCAGAGCTTCCTCCTGGCTCTGTGCTCAGGGATCACTCCTGGCAGGGCTCAGGGGACCATATGGGATTCCCAAGGATTGAACCTGGGTCATTTGTGCGCAAGCTCCCTACCCGCTGTACTGTGTCACCCTGGCTCCTTAGTCCATATTCGTGTTTCCTGTTGTTCTTGGGGAGTCTCTTTTCTTACTTTTCAAAAAATAATTCGGACCACAACCAGCAGTGCTCAAGGCTTAATTAACCCTGGCTCTGAGTTCAGGGATGACTCCTGGTGGGGCTCAGGGGACCCTAAGGGGGATTAAACCCTGGTCAGCTGCATGCAAGGCAAGCGCCTACCCACTGTACTATTTCTCTGACCCTGGGTGAGAATCCAGAGCATTTTTCTCCAGAAGGCTACAGGCAGGCTAACTCCCCTGTTGGTGGGATGACAGCTCCTCGTGCTTCCTCTTAAAGCTATGAGTTGCTCCAATCCCTCCTGGAAGGGTGGCTTGCTGGTTCCACTGGGGCGTAACACCTCTCCCAACCATCACAGCCTTCTGGCACGCAGGGACCAGCTTCAGAAACCTGCTCACGTGATAAAATGCTGTGGTTCTTTGAAAGGCTGCTCTACGCACCATTTAGGGAGCCTGTTCAAGCTATGGTATCCAGTGGAAGATGGGAATAGTCGTATCTAGTATTTAGACAGGAGGAGAGACGCTCATCATTACACTTAAGTCCCTGGAGAGGACCAATATCCTGAGACACAGAAGTGTGTGTGTCATGACGGTGCTGTGGAGAGAAAGGAGGGGTGGAAGGGAGATGCATGCACCTAGTATACCTGTGGGTATAGCGTTGGGGGTGCAGAGTCAGCAGCCATACCTAGTGCTGTGCTTAAAGTGAGCCATACGCAATGCCAGAGATAGGACCAGGGCCTGTGGTGTGCAAGCAAGTGCCTTAAACCTTCTTCTATCTCTCTGGCTCTCTACGTAAGTTCTTCTTAGTGAGAGTGAGAGCATGTATATGAGGGAGAGAGAGACAGAGACGGAGAGACAAAGAGAGGGGGAGAGAGGGGAGAGACAGAGAGAGAGAGAAGAGAAAGACAGAGAGAGCAAGAGAGTGCGAGTGAGAGAGAGAGCGAGAGAGAGAGAGAGAGAGAAGAGACAAAGTTAGACTTACAAACCAGAAAGCCAAATTTAAAAAGTCACAGTGTGACTCGGGGCATCAGATCATACCCCTGGCCTGGTATCTCAGTGGTTAGAGTCAGCAACAGGATTCTCAAGAGGCCCGAGTGTCGGCAGCACCACTGTGGTCAGCAGAAATGACTTGAGGGAGGAGGGGGCTATTGGTGAACGAGGTGAAATTATGGAAGTGAGGGTGTAGGCAGAGCTTTGAGGGCAGGTGATGCCCACCAGCCTTCAGCAGTGGGTTCCTAGCCACCCCCCCCCCAGACCTCCATACATCCCAGAGAGTAAGTAAGCATTTGCCTGTCCTCTCTTCCCGATGGGTGGGTGGTCCCTGTTGCCTTGCTCCCAGCACACACACCAGCCCACACAGCCAGCATCTGTCTTTGGAACGAGAAAGTTTCCACCCAATTTGCCCGATCACGCCAGAGCTAGAAAGAGACTTCAGTCGAACAAATAGAATAAGCCACTGGGGTCATCACTGGGCAAACACAGGGCCCCGCTCTCCTTTGAAAACAGCACCCTTTGCTCTATGCTACACCTCATCAATCCATCTTGAAAAAAGACAAAATAGGGGCTGGAGCAATAGCACAGTGGGTAGGGCGTTTGCCTTGCACGCGGCCAACCTGGGTTCGATTCCCAGAATCCCATAGGGTCCCCTGAGCACTTCCAGGAGTGCATGAGCCAGGAGTAACCTCTGTGCATCGCTGGGTGTGACCCCCCCCCCAAAAAAAAGATAAAATAAAAGACCATCCTGCCCTGCCCTGCCCGCGAACCCGGAAGTCTCTCTCACCAGGTGCATCCCGATGGAGGTGGCCATGGCCGTCTCGATCTCCGTCCCCACATCCTCGATGAAGGGGTATTCGTCCTGCCGATGGACAATCACCTTCGCCCCCGTGGAGGACACCAGGAAGGGGTTATACTCCTCTTCATCGATGTACAGGATGACCTGCAGCCCTAGGGGCAGAAAGCAAGTCGGCGGGGTCAAAGGCTGGAACGTTCCCTGGGATTTACTCACCCAGCAGACTGTGCTCTGCGAGCCTCAGGACTCAGCCCCAGGTGTTTCCATGAAATGAAAAGTGGCCCAGGCCTAGACTGTCCCCTCCCACAGGGGCCCCCAGGACAGGCTGTGCTTTCCCGTCTCGCTGCTGTGTCCCCAACTCAGCACAGAATTAGGGGGCTAAGGCTCCAACGAGTCCTGCCCAACACACGTACCTCCAGATTCTGCGCAACCCCCAAAGGCCCTCACAGCTCTGGGGAGACACCCACAGAGATGTCAACCACAGTCGTTACTTCTCTCCCTGTTTCCTGCCCCCACAATCCCCCTGCCAGCCCCTGCAGTGGTTCACTCTGCACCCAGCACCCAGAGGAGGCTTTTTAGTTTTGAGGGGACAGGGGGTTTGGGGGGTTTCCCAAGCATCACTCAGGGAGCCTGGCACCATTCTCAGAAATAGTCGGTCCAGCGCTGCCCAGGGCCCCGCAGTGCTGGGGGCCACCCCGTCAGGCTCAGGGGACCACGCGGTGCTTGGAATTGAACTCGGCACCTCTGCATCCCAGACACATGCTCCCGGACCCAGGATTTAGTGACTTGGACCGGAAACCCTCTGGAGCTGCCTCGTTGGCCCATGGGGACGGCAGGGGGTGTGACACGCTCGCCTGGAGGGCTGTCCCGATCTCAATGGTCCATCCCTCTGCCCTCTTGCCCATCACGGCACAAGCACCGAGGGCAGCCGTCTTTCTGTGTCTTGGGTACTTTGGATTAATTTCTTTGGGGATCGACGCCGGTGGTGCTCAGGGGTCACTCCCAGAGGCCCCGGGGAACGATGCAGTGGCGAGAATCAGCCCAGTCTGCACCTTGACCTTCAGAGCCGGGCCTGGCCTCCCGCTCCGGCCTTTGGATCTGCTCCTCCGTGGAGCTCAACTCGGATCTTCTCCTTGGAAGAGCCTCCAGGCCTTTCCCGACCTCTTATCCGACATTTACCCCTGGCTGTCACTCCCCCTTCCTTTTCCCTCAGAGCATCCCAGCATGGCGCTTTCTGGAGGCCGTCTCTGTACTCAGGTGCTGATTTCTTGAATCTCTCTCCTAAAATGCCAGTCCTCTGGAGGCAGAGACAGTGCCTGGCTCTTTCCCCACCTACCCCGCAGAGAGTCCATGTTTGGAGCGAGCCACAGCGTCAAGTGGATGTGAAGGACAGAAAAGCGCTCTGAGAGTTTGTCTCACGCGGCAGCCAGCCCAGAGAGTGGGAGTGATTTCCTCAAGGCCACACAGCCCATGGGAAGCAGAGTCAAACTCAGTCCCCGGATGATGTGCCCCCCTGAAGGACGGGCACCTTTAGTTTCTTGCTGTCTTGGGAAGAAGACGGACCACACAGCCACTGAGTACCAGCATGCTCTGTGGCAGACACGGCGGGGGTTGGTTTGGGAATGTGTCTGCTCAACCGGCTCAGGACTGCCTGAGGATTCTCTCATGGGAAAGCCAGACCAATGTTGAGTCCCTGCCTTCCTACAAAGCGGGGCAGTGCTCAGGGAGGAAGAAGGGAGAGAAAGGTGCTTGGTGGAGCCAGTGCAGTGGTGGCAGAGGAAGATGTGGTGTCAGATGGTACTGAGGTGGTGCTCAGGAGGTGCTGAGGTGGTACTGAAGTGGTGCTCAGGTGGTGTTCAGGTGTGTTGAGGTGGTGCTCAGGTGGTACTGAGGTGATGCTCAGGTGGTTCTGAGGTGGTGCTCAGGTGGTGCTAAGATGGTGCTCAGGTGGTGTTGAGGTAATATGGGACTGGTACTGAAGTGGTGCTCAGATAGTACTGAGGTGGTGCTCAGGAGGTGCTGAGATGATGCTCACATGGTACTAAGGTGAGGTGGTGCTCAGATGGTACTAAGGTAGGCAGGGCTAGTACTGAGGTGGTCAGAACTGGTACTGAGGTTGTGTACGGTTTGTACTGAAGTGGTCAAGACTGGTACTGAGGTGGTGCTCAAATAGTACTGAGATAAAATAGGAATGATACTGAGATGGTAGAGGAGTGGTACTGAGGGGGTGCAGGAATGGTACTGAGGTAGTAGGAGACTGGTACTGAGGCATACAGGAATGGCACTGAGGAGTACAGGAATGATATTAAGGTGTCATGTAGGAATGGTGAAAATGTTGATAAAAGCTCTGATGCCGGGGGCTGGAGCAATAGGACAGCGGGTAGGGCGTTTGCCTTGCACGCGCCCAATCCGGGTTCGATTCCCAGCATCCCATATGGTCCCCTGAGCACCGCCAGGAGTAACTCCTGAGTGCAGAGCCAGGAGTAACCCCTGTGCATCGCCAGGTGTGACCCAAAAAGGAAAAAAAAAAAAGTTCTGATGCCTAGGCTGGTGTTCCCATATTTATGGCAAAAGTTTCACCCCCCATGGGACAATATTTGGGGCCAGGGCCAGGAGTGTATTTTGGTGAAATAAGCTCCCGAGGGCAGGCCCTCCCCACACAGCCTCCAGAACGCTCACACTCTGCCTGCCTCTCTTGTCTGTGGCTGAGTCTCGTCTATCTCTGTCTCTGTCTCGCTCTGTCTCTGGCGGCTGTGTCTGTCTCCAGGTGCAGAGGAAAGGGCAAGTAAGGACGCCACGAGTAAGTGGCTGACGAGTGGACCCACAGAGGCCTTGCGTGCCACACCCTGACGGGGTGAAACCACCACCATTGGCAGCCCTGGCATGCCCCGCGTGCCCCGCGCTGCATTTTGCTGGCTGTCCCGGGGCCCCACACAGCGGGTGTCCGGTCTTCCTGGGAGCCTGGTGGCCAGAGAAGCCGGGGCTCACTCCAAGAAGCCAAGGCAGCTCCCAAGCTGTTACGGAGCCCAGATAAAGGCGTGTTTGTCTCCCTAATCTCCAGGCGGCTTATCTGGGGCCCCCGCTGGAAGCCACCTGCCTGATTACTCACTCCCGAGCTGGCTCCCAGAAGCAGGGGCACCGCGCCGTCCCCGGCCCTTAGAAGGAGAGAGACGCTGAGAGGGAGAGACTTGCACGGAGGTGCACAGGCCCCTGAACAGGGGAGCTGGAGCCCTGGGCCTATGGAGGAGTGCCCCCCCCCAGCATCTCCAGCTCACCTGCCAGAGCCCCCCAGGCATCAGCCCTGCTCCTGGGAAATCAACCTCGGTGCTTAGGTGGTGCTGAGGTGCTAATCAGGTGGTACTGAATTAGTGCTCAAATGGTACTAAGGTGGTGCTCAGGTGGTACTGGGGTGGTGCTTAGGTGATGCTGAGATGGTGCATAAGTGGTGCTGAGGTGGTGCTGAGGTGGTGCTGAGGTGGTACTGAGGTGGTGCTCAGGTGGTACTGAGCTAGTGCTCAGATGGTACTCAGGTGGTGCTCAGGTGGTGCTGATGTGATGCTGAGGTGGTACTGAGGTGGTGCTCAGATACTGTTGAGCTAGCGCTCAGATGGTACTAAGGTGGTGCTCAGGTGGTACTAGGTGGTACTCAGGTGGTACTGAGGTGGTGCTCAGGTGGTGCTCAGGTGGTGTCGAGCTAGTGCTCAGATGGTACTAAGGTAGTGCTCAGGAGGTACTGAGCTGGTGCTCAGGTGGTGCTGAGGTAATGTGGGCCTGGAGCCCCCCCAAGCCTTCCCAGCACCCTGCACTCACCATACTCACTGCCGCCCATGGAAGTGCTGAGTGTCGTCTCGTTCTCTCTGTTGTTGAATGTGTAGCAGTTCCCGTACATCGGGTGGTGGAAGAGAGTAAAATTCCTGGGGAAGGAGGAGACGGCGAGATGGGACCAAACTCGGCCCCCACTGGGCACCCCGCGGCACTGCGGAGAGGCCCAAGCCCTTCTGTGGACTGTGGGCGCAGACAGGAGTCCCCTGCATGCCTTCCCACGGATAAATGTCCAGGTGGACACACGTGACAGTCTGTGCTTCTCTCCTGGGGGTGTCCCCCTCATATTCCCCCATTCTCCGGATCCCTGAGCACTAGCAGAGCCCCCTCACCCCCTTTTATGCTGCTGAGTCTCTCAGCCCCTGCAGGACACGTTCCCTGCTCCCACATCCAGTCCTGGGAAGCAGCCCAAGAGTGGGACCCTCATTGTCTGGGTACTGCTCCCCTTACCTTGGAAGCTAAGCACCTAAGGGACTTGATTCTATCTAGCTGCCGTTTTCATGAGGACTGTTTCGATTTTCTGGCTCTGTTTTTCTTTGGGGGGGGTGGATAGCCCCCAAGTATCATGGGGTGTGGTCCTGCCCCAATACCTTCCTTCTTCTCCATTTTCTTTGGTCTCTGGGAGGATAAACCCTTCATGCCCACACAACCCTGTGCTTGCAGCTCAGTCCTGTGTCATGGATCGCTCCTGGTGGAGCTCGGGGATCGAACCAGGGCTGGCTGTATGCATGATAAGTGCCTTCCCTCTGCGCTCTCACTCTCTCCAGTCCCAAGAACCAGGATCTTGACTCTCCCATGGGGGAAGGCTAGAAGCACTCAGGAGAGGAAAGGATGAGGCCTGCCCTTCGCAAAGGCCAAAAGTGCCGGCTCACCACCCGACAAGGGAACTTTGCCTCCAAGAGGGTCTGAGGTTGGCTCACCGCACAGGACCTGCCGCCTTCTTCTGTGCCCCATCAATGCTCCCCAATCCTTGGAGCGAGTCACAGCGAGCAACAAAGTTTGAGACACACGGCAAGGGACCGTTTTCTCTGTGTGATGCTGACGCAGAAGAGGCTGTGCTGCCATTCTGCCACCCACCCGACTCTGCCACTCCTCAACTCTGCCAAGGACCCTGAAGCCGAGCCCCAGGGCATGGCCTGTACCCGGCCCTCGGACACCCCCATGCCTGGCAGCCGCCTGCCCGGGGTGAAGGGGGGGTCTCACCTGGCGTCGCAGGACGCCCCATCGAAGAAGCAGGTGACCAGCAGCTCCTCGGCCGAGTAGCCCATGTCGATCTTCTTCTCGAGGGGCACCTGCGCCATGATGTTCATGTAGTGCAGCTTGTACCACTCCTGGATGGCGTTGACCCCCGAGCTGAAGGTGTAGATGGCACAGTTGGCTGTGTCGTTGGAGCACTGTGGGGAGGAGGGGACGGCGGTGAGGTCCTCGCTTCTCCCGCAGGGTCGGGGAGGACGGGAGGGTCAGAGGGAGGCTCGGCCAGGGCAGGACCACGGATGCAGCCTGCCCCAGCCTCGAGGACCACCGAGGGGCTGAGCAAGGAAGGACGCGATGCCTTCTCCGCTTCGTGCCCAGGACTGGCTCAAAAGCCAGCTTATCAGGGCCCCCAGATAACCACTCTGGGGAGGGGGAGGGGGTGATTGCCACGGACTACGTGTTCCCCTCCCCCACCTACACTGTTTTCCAGTGTCCCAAATACTAGAGTTCTAGCCGGAAAGTGACACTGAATCTCTGCAGGAGTCAAGACAAGGTCTTCTGTCTCCCTGGTTTTACCTACGCAATGGGGAAGATGCCCTCATTCCTGGGCCAGTAAGTATGGGGTAAGGTGCCAACTTTGCATGAAGCTGACCCTTGCTCAATCCCTGATACCCCATGGTCCCCTGAGCACAGAGCCAGGAGTAGCCACCCCCCCCCAAGCACCATTGTGTGTGGCCCTAGCTCCCTGCCCCCATACCTTCCTTCTCAATTTTGTTCGGTGACTCGGGGGGACACTGACTCTTCAAATCTAGGATAATGAGGACTAGAGAAAGTTCAATGGGCTGGGGCATGTGCATTACATGTAAGAGGCCTGGGTTCAAATTCCAACACTGTAGGATTCCCTTAAGCACTGGAAATGCCCCCAGAGCACAGAGTTTGGGACTGGCCCCCTGAGCACTGCCAGGGAGTGGCCCCAGAAGCAAAAGAAAACAAAAGTCTCGGCTCCTAAGAGCATCAGAGGGAAACTGTGGCATCTCAGAAGTTCTCATCACCAGGGGACTCAGAAATGCTCCTAAAGACACACATCACAGGGGCTGGAGCGATAGCTCAGCGGGTAGGGCGTTTGCCTTGCACATGGCAGACCCGGGTCCAATCCCTGGCATCCCCGAGCCCTACCAGAAGTAATTCCTGAGTGCAGAGCCAGGAGTAACCCCTGTGCATCACCAGGTGTGACCAAAAAAAAAAAAAGACACATATCACAGGGCTATTGCTGCTGTGGGACCCTCAGGCACAGGTCCAGGGGGGACCTGGGAGAGTCTTGGTAAAGAAGAGAAAGGAATAGGTTGATTTCCCAGGAGCAGACTGGCGATGGGCCCCGTCTCTGCCCTCTGACAGGGCTCTGTGTACAAGAGGCAGCTCTGACCCCGAGAGGGCAGGTGGAGGGGGGGAGCTGAAGGTGGGGGGGGGTGCTCATGGAGGTCGTCGACGTCACCTCTAGAGAATGGCAGCTACTTCCAGGCCCTTCCAACAGACAGGGAGGGAGAGACGAACTGGACCCTGGCTGCCCATGAAGGGAGGCACAGAGGGACACATCCGGGGTCTGCACTCCTCTTTGGCCAGAGTTTCCTCTCCTTTGGCGACAGTTCAGTGATGGCACTGTTCATAAAGGCCCTGGGCCTGGGAGGAGCTCGCCGGGCTGGTGCTCATGCCCTAGGCCCTGTGCCAGTTCCCCGGCACCCCACGGCCTCCTCACCAAGAACTGCTGCATGGACCCCTATACTTCCCAAGCACTGCCAGGCCCAAGCACTGAACTGCAGGCCTCACATGTCTGGGTACGATCATCAGAAGTGACCTCCTCAGATCCCCTGAACTACATTTGGGAGCCCCTTCACCCACAGGGAATTAAAAAAAAAAGAGGGCCCTCCTCTTCCATGAGCCATCACTGGACTCAAAGCCTGCCAACCTCCAGGTGGATGTCAAACCCATCTTTCAGGAGGAATCCACCAAGAAGAATGGGAATGGCCCCCTTCTGTTATCTCGGCCGTGACTGAGAGATAAGCTCCCATCCCCTCTCCCTGCCACCAACAAGGGACCTTCCCTTCTTCCTGCTCTTGGCCGGGTCCCCACGAGCGCCTGGTTGCTAAGCCTTCCTTGGGTGCCCCCCACCCTTGCTTAATTGCATTTGTTTTCATTGCTTGCAACTCGTTCCCGGGGAGGGGCTGGACCAGAGAGGGGCTCAGGTGCCAGGGAGAGGCCTGCCAGGGGTTCCCGCAAGGCGCCCCCCACTTCCACCCTGCTCCTAGGACCCAGGCGGTGGTGGGGGCGGGGGTCTCACCAGCTGGAAGCCCACCACCTGCTTGGACTCGTGGACCTGCACCACGTCAGCCGCCTTGTGGATCACGCGGTCGCCCACCCTGCGCTTGCGGCCCGTCAGCAAGTCCCGGGCCGTGTGCGTCTCGCCCTGCTTGAAGAGGAGCAGCGGGACCAGGTTGAGGAACTTGGGCTGCGGGTCCTCCCAGGTCTCGGCCTCGCGGCGCCTCCGAGCCTTCGTCTCCGGGAAGCCGTACAGGTTCTTCAAGGTGCTTCTGGTCTCCTGCTCCAGGTCAGCCAGCAGGTCCCGCACGGCGCTGTACCTGCCAGGTTGGGCGGGATCAGAGAGAGCGCCTCCCGCTGGCTGCGCGCCGCCACTGCACCTCGCCTCTCGCCACCCACCCTTCCTCTGCGCGGGCAAACCCGGGGCCTGCGTCCTGGATGCAGGCTCCTGGGTGACCCTGGGGTGACTCGCGGCCTCACAGCCGCCACCGCCGGTGCCTCTTGCTCTCGGGGTGTGTGGATGAGGTCGCCCCAACCAGCATTTCTGGAGTGGTGACTATCAGGTGCCTCCCATAAACCAGCCCTGGTGCGCATGAGTAAATAACAGCTCCCCCTTCCCCCCAGGCTCCCAGGGGGCAGGCTCTGCCTCCACCCTGCACGCGGGGCCCTGCCCCTCGATGCTCCCCCAGTTCGGGAGCTTGCATCCCCTCAGCCTCCAGCCCCGCCAAGGGCTGTGGGTAGGGCAGGTGCAGGGCAAGCTGGAAACCTGAGGTGCCTCTGCGCATTTCCATTTCCCCATCAGTCCTGGGCTCCCTCCTCATCCAGGGGCACAGAGGCTCCCCCAGGACCTGTGGTCCCCCCATGCGCCCCGCCTGGTTCTAGGCTAGGTGACCTGGGATAAGTCGCTTGACCTTCTTGGGGGTCTCCGTCTCCAGCTCTGTAAAATGGGGTGACTGGGGAAAAGCCCGTGCATTATTCTGAACTCCAGCCAGCTCGTTAGCTCTGTTATTTCCGTGGGTACGGGCATAGAAGCGGTATTCAGATGTACGAGGAGCTCTGGACCCTGGCTGCCCATGAAGGAAGGGAGCGCATGCCTTCCCCGGGACTCAGAGGGGCTTGGGGCTGTTTGGGTCTCCGTCCCTAGGACTGCATGTGCCAATGTGCGGGTGGAAGAGCCAGTGATGGGCGGGAGGAAGGAGGGAGCAGGGAGGGAAGGCGGAAGGAGCTTCAGACGGGAGGGAGAGACTCGCCTCTGAGTCTGACTCTGAGCTTTGCCACCGACTCCCTGGTGAGCTGGATGAGTGAGTGCCCTTAGCGCCTCTTGCTCCCCAGCGCTCCCCTTCTCCCCGCTCCACCCCGGCTCTGACCCTGCTGCCCGCTCAGAGTCAGCCCTGCACCCCCGCTTCCCCCCATGAGAGCAGACAGTCAGCAGGGAGCACCATAGGGTGAGCCAGCCCAGGATCTCAATTAGTGGGGCTGGGCTGGCTCAGAGGAGGGGACAGATGTGGCACTTCCGTAAGTCACCTGGGCGTCACTTCTGAATCACATTCAGGCTCAGTGTGAGGGTGTGAATCTGGAAAGCTGAGGGCATGAATGGAGTGTTGTGTGTGTGTGTGAGTGTGTGTTGTGCGTGTGTATATATAGTATTGTGTATATGAGTGTCTGAGAGCTCATTCCAGGCTCCACCTTCCAACCCTGCCTTCACGGGAAGTCGCCGCGTGCTTGAAAATTTGGCACTGCTTTCTTTCTTTCTTTCTTTCTTTCTTTCTTTCTTTCTTTCTTTCTTTCTGGGTCACACCTGGTGATGCACAGGGGTTACTCCTGGCTCATGCACTCAGGAACCGGGGGACCATATGGAATGCCGGGAATCAAACCTGGGTCGGTCGCATGCAAGGCAAACGCCCTACCCGCTGTGCTATCACTCCAGCCCCAGCTTGGCACAGATTTCCAGGGTGGTAAAGCACCACTGACCGGGGCTGGCAGCAGTGGGCAGTCTCCGCGCCCACCTCCCCGCCCTCTTACTTGTAGGGGTTGATGTTGCAGATGGTGACGGCTGGGAAGTCCAGCTTCTGGAAGTGAACCTTGATGGAGACCGAGACGGTGTAGAAGGAGAAGACGAGCAGGGCGCACTGCCAGAAGATGAGCGCCACGGCGGTGAGCGTGAAGGCGATCCAGAGCAGGCGGCGGAGGCGGCCGCGCGACACCACGATGCGGCGGCAGCCGTGCGTGTTGGTGTTTAGGCAGTACCAGCGCATCAGCTCCTTGATGGTGGGCGCCTGCGGGCCCGTCACCGGCAGATTCTTCTTGATCTTCGCTTTGATCTTCTCCCCTGGAGCCATGGCCAGGGTGGGTCCGGGTGGGCTGCGGGGGCAGAGACGGTGGGGGGGTCCTCAGGTGAGTGTGCTTGGGGCTGCACAGAGCAGCCCCTCCTCCCTCTCCCTGCCCACCCACAGCCCGGTGGCAGGATGTTTGATCAGGGCCTCACTACAGCAGTGGTCTCCTTGGACAACCCCGGGGGCCAAGTTTTGTGGGGAACCTGGGTGATCCTGAACTTGTGATTTGCTGGACAGGTGGGAAGGACCTTTCCCAGGCACCCAGGAGAAGCATCAAGCACTTCAACCCCCTACCTATCCCCCACCTATCTAATCTCTGCCTGGAGCACAGACACCTTCATCCCGTGTGGTCCTGCCCTCTGGTGTCAGCACAGAGCCGGGCATAGATCAAGTCACCCACAGACTTCTTTTTGGTTTGTTTTGGGACCACACACCGCTGTTCTCAGGGCTCACTCCAGGCTCTGCGCTCTGGGATCAAGCCTGCCAGGGCCCAGGGGACCAAACTGGGTGCTGGAGATACCACTGCAATTGGCCGTTTGCAAAGCCAGTACCTTCCCCCAGCCTGGACTGTCTCTCCAGCCCAGAGATCACTTCCGGCCAATCCAATCTGCCAGGAGCATTTCCCCACAGACACCTCCCACTGGGGCCCAGCTCCCTCACCCTATTTCCCAGACTTTTATTTTCTTCCTGGTGCTTTCCTGCAGGTGGAAAGTTTTTCTCTCCTTTCGTTTCTCTTTCCAGTCAAGCAAGCCCTTACTGTTTCTACCATCAGATACAATGGGAGCCTCTGAGTATGGGCCACTTAATATATTCCAGGCGCTGTGCCAGATTTCCTTGATTTAAGATCCCAGTGACTCAAGGAATCCGCTGATTTTGGTGACAGCTCTGGGGCTGAGCGTTGGAAAGCAAGCGACCAGAATATGAGGTACATCTCCACTGCAGAAACTGGGATGGGTGACACATTCTTTTGAGAGATGAACTAACATTTTATATATATAGCACTGTAGCACTGTCCTCCCGTTGTTCATCGATTTGTTTGAGTGGGCTCAGAAATGTCTCCATTATGAGACTTTTTACTGTGTTTGGCATATAAATAAGTCACGGGTAGTTTGCCAGGCTTTGCCGTGTGGGCGAGATATTCTCGGTAGCTTGCCAGGCTCTCCGAAAGAGGTGGAGGAATCGAACCTGGCTCGGCCAGGCCGGCTGCACGCAAGGCAAACACCCTAAACACACATACTTTCTCTTTCACTCACACATTGTCTCTATAAATTTGATTTTATGCTTCAATCCCAGGAGAAAGGCACACACTTAGTAGCTCCATGTTGGCAGAGCAGGAAAATGGGCTCAGAGAGGTAGAGTAACTTGTGTAAGATCGCGCAGCTATATAAAATAGGGGCTGGGTGAGAGCCTTGCTTAAAGCCTTGACCACCATAGGTGATGCCTCGGAGGCACCTGGTTTTGTGTTAGGTGTATCCCACGCCCCAAGGCCCATAATTAAAACTCTCTGAGGCTAGCAGGAGATGACCTTGTGAGCTGGTATTTCTAAACTCTGGCTTTGTGACCACCATCAAGCAGCGGTGAGAGAATTGGGGGAAGGCAAGATGAAAACGATCTCTTATGCTTATCACAGGTGATACAGGTCAACTAACTGCATGATCAGAGGTACCAGGGTGGTCCCCAGGTCCCAGAGGGCTGTATCTGAAACAAGGACTTCAGTGGGTTCCTTCAAATTCTTAGTTTTTTTTTTTTTTGGCTTTTTTGGGTCACACACACTCAGCGATGCTCAGGAGTTACTCCTGGCCTTGAAATCAGGAATTACTCCTGGCAGTGTTCAGGGGACTACACGGGATTCGAACCTGGGTCAGTCACATGCAAGACAAACACTCTCCCCACTGTACTATCGCTCCAGCTCCCATCCTTCAAATTCTTCAGGTGGGATCTGGACTGAAGCCATTACTTTTACTCCCCCTGACCCAGAGAGAAATGACCCCAAGCAGGAGCCAGGCACAGCTGGAAGCCTTAGATCTCTGATGTTAGTGGGGTTCAGGTCTATGAGATCAAGGAAGTAAGAGGATTTTGTGGGCGACGGTAGAGTAAAACACACAGAGGCCGCCACATCTGCAAACACCGCACAACGGAGCTCACCTTGATCTTGGCTGGGAAGGAATGAAACACCCCTGACCTTGGAGGTTATAGGTAGCTTCCTGACTATCTGGAGGCAATTGATTTCATCATTCTCTCCTGTCTGTACCTTCTCTCTCACCACAATTCCCAAAACCCAAATATTAGTTTTGTGGTTTGTTTTTTATTTATTTTGCTGCTATTGTTCTTCAAGCTTATATCTAGGTTCTATTTCTTGGCAAGTAGGAAACTTGGGGGCAAGTAGGGGGGAGGGTTTCTCCTCTGCAAATGGTCAACAAAAATTTGGACATCCTCTCCCCAACAGCCTTTTCACTGGAGACAGATTCCTCCGATCCTAGTGGCCTTTTGGCCTGTCCCCTAACAGGGAATGACAAGTGGTGGAACAGCCACTGGGGAGAGAAGGGAACCATTGCGTTCACCCTAAACAGAAACCAAGGGCAGAGAGAGAGCACAGGGGTTGAGGCACCAGCCTTGTATGTGGTTGACCCAGTGTTCCATCGCAGCATGGCCTATGGTCCCCTGAGCAACTGCCAATGTGGCCCCCACATAAACAAGTCAGCACGTGGCACTAACGCGGAGCCAGGTCAAGTGCAGCCGGGTGCTGCTCCATTCATTGCTCCCCTTGTCATGAGATGGAGAAGGTGACAAGGAGCTCACTCTCCTGAGCACACCCACCCCTGAATTTCCACCCTCATCTTCTAAGGCAGGAATCCTAATGCCCTCATGGTCACTGTCACTGTCACTGTCCTCCCGTTGTTCATTGATTTGCTTGAGCAGGCCCTGTAACGTCACCATCGTGAGACGTTGTTACTGTGCTTGTCATATCGAATACGTCTCGGGGAGCTTGCCAGGCTTTGCCGTGCAGGCGAGATACTCTCTCTCGGTAGCTTGCTGGGCTCTCCGAGAGGGGCGGAGAAATCGAACCCAAAAAACTCTGGTGCTAAGAGTTTACATAAGTGACATAAGGTCATGCTAGAAAGTGTGGAATTTGGACCGAGTGGTCCATACCTTTAAAGATGCTCCTCAAGGAATAGAGACAACAAAATAACAACCATACTAGCACCAACAAAGGCGATAGGTAATACTTGCTCTCACTGAAGTCTTTTCTCCCATTTGTCAATTCCTGGTTCAGCCTTTTATATGCCTTACCTTATTCAATCGCATTACCATATTTACTTGCACTACCGTATTTCATGCTCACTGTAATTATACGAAGCACTACCCGGCCCCTCATTTCACAGACGGGGAAACTAAGGTACAGTGCGGCTAGGAAACTCGCGGCAAAGGTTAATGCAGCTAGGAAGGATTCAACGCATTTTCTCCAATACCAGGGGCCTGGCTTAGGACGGAGCGTTCCTGCAGCGCGCCCGCCCCCCGCCCCCCACCTCCTTCTAGGTTCCGTCCCCATTCCCGACCTCGCCCACTGGGCAGCAAGTGGCCTCGGTCCCTCTGCCGCCCCGCGTTAGCCCCTGCCACAGCGCAGAGGCCGGAGCGGCCCCAAGGCCATCTGGGGAGTCCAACCAACGCGCTTCAAGTGTTTGCTCCGTTCCGCAATCACAGTCACCCCCAGAGGAAACATTCTAGACACTCGCGGCTCCGTCCGCGCGTCTCGCCAAGGCCCGCCGAGGGGACCGAGCCGGGACCCAGCGGCGACCTCGCACCGCCCCCCTTCCCCGGGGCTGCGTCTCCGAGCAGTGCCACTCGGCCGGCGTGCCAGCATCCCGGCCGGCGCCGGGCAATGCCAGGGCCGGCACCCGCACGGTCCCGGCGCACGCGGACGGCGACTGGCCAGCCCCGGGACGGTCCTCGGGGACCTGGAGTGACCGATCGGGGCGGCCTGTCCCCGCGGGGCTCACCTCGCTCGGTGCCGACGGGTGCGGGACTCGCGTGCGCCCGGTCCTGGCGCGCCCTGTCCTGCTCTGGGGCGAGCGCGAGCATCCCCCGGCTGCCGGGGCCACCGGCTCTTGTGGGCCGCGCTGGTCCCGCCCCCAGCACCCCGCCCCTCGGCCCGCCCCCACCTGCCCAGGTGTCTCCCCGGGGACGGGAGGCCGCCCGGAGTCGGCCGCAACTCCGCAGCGCCCACTGCCGTCCCGAGGCCGCGCTGCGCCCCGCCCCGCCCCGCCCGGGGCGCTCCTGGGGACCCCACCCCCAGCGCAGGTGCCTGCTGCCGCCCCGAGGCCACCCCGCGCCCTGCACCCTGCCACCGCGCAGCGCCTCCTGCCGCCCGCTTTCTGCCCGGAGCCTTCCAGTCCGGTCCAGAGGACCCCGCTGTCCAGCCGACTCCCAATTCTGCAGCCTCTTGCCTGCAACCGCCCGGTCCCCACCACCCCTCACCCCCAGCGTGAGGCCACTTCAGGGCCCACCCGCGTCCAGCTGTGGGGTCGCAGAGGTTGTCGTTCGTCCTTTACATTTTGGGTGTGTTTTGAAATATTTATGGATTGATTGATTGGTTTCTGGGCCACACCTGGCAGTACTCGGGGCTTACTCCTGCCTCTACGCTCAGGGGTCACTCCTGGTGGTGGGGACTCGGAGGACGGGGTGCCTGGGATCCGACCCAGGTCGACTGCGGGCAAGGCGAACGCTTCCCCACGCTGTAGTGTCTCTCTGGCCCCTTGGGTGCTCTTTTGTTTTTGCTTTTTTCAACTCCCCCTTTACAGGGACCAATGCACAGTAATGAGCTTAGAACGTCACTCCCAGGAGTTATCAACTGTACAAAGGTGCCTGACTTGCTCCCTTTGAGTATTTCGGAAACAGGCCAGGCTTTCTAGAATAAAAACCAACAGTCCCTTTCTTAGGATAAAACTGTACTTTCGCGGCCGCGCGAAATCTTATCAAAACTTTTTTTTTATGACATCTTATCATCT